GCTGGAGGGCGCGGATGCCCCCTGGCAAATCCACCCGGGGCGCTAAGGCTGGGGGTTTGGGTTAATTTACATAAAAAAGACACCTTAGATCCCAGGGTTGTGTGTGTGTGCGTGCGTGCGTGCGCACGTGTGTGTGTGTGTGTGTGTGTGTGTGTGGCTTTTGTGAGGCAGGAGAGAGCGCGGAATGGCAGGAATGCTTCCTAACCCCGTGGCCCGACCGTCGCGGGAGAGACTGCCTGCAAACTCTGCGAACACGATTCCTGCAAAGTCATCTCCTCCCGCACAGCCGGGCGGGCCGGCCCGCCCCGCCCGCGGACAGCAGCACCCGCCTCCCTGCTCTCCCCTCGCTCCCGCCCCAGCCCTGCTCGCGGCGCGCAGAGTTGGGGTGCGGTGCGGGCTATGTTTAGAAGCTTATGTCATCCCGACACCCTACTCTGCAGTGCTCCCAGGGGAGCCCGCAGGGCAGGTTTTCCTCTTCTTCGCGGGCGTGGGGGATGGGGAAGGTGCCTCTACCCGCCCCACCCCCGCCAACACACACACATACGCACCTACCCAACCCCGAAGAGTTAAAAAGAAAAAATGCAACCCCATAAGTTATGAAACAGGGTGGTGGGGGCGGTGCGCGCCAGCGGAGGGCGCAAACCCAAGGGCTTGGGCCTCGAGGGGCAGACAGCCGGCCCCCGCCCCCTCCAGCCTTCGCCACCTCCCGCCTGGGTGCGGGGGCTAATTTCAAGGTTAGCTCACGTGGGCGCGGGCGCCCGGAGCTCCTTGCACGAGTTTGGGGCGGGTTCCTCATCCCCCAATCTAGGGCAGTTTGTTCAACTGCAGTAAAGGGAGCTTGATGTTCCAGCAGGGAAGGGATTTCTGAGAACTGGGGCTGTCCTCAGATGAACTCGGCTCCTCCGGCTGCCGCTGCGGCGGCCGCCTGCGGAAGACTTTTTAAAAGGGCGATGCCAGGCCGGGGCGCGCAGCCCGCAAGTGGCTGAGCCGCCCGCCAGTCTGCGGCCGGAGCCGAGAGCCCGCCCCCGAGCGCGGGTGATGCACGGTGCGCCGCGCAGGGCCTCTCGGCGCGCGGGGGGCTGCAAGCTAAACTTATCCTCCTGCATATGTATGAACGTGTGGCCTTTCTGCTCGGCAAAGGAGAGGCCTGGAGTTTTGCGGAAGGCTGCTAAGTGGAGCGAGAGCAAAGTAGGACGTCGTGCAAGTTTTCGCTCGGGCCTGAGCCCCCTCCACCCCCCACCCCCGCCTCCCTCTCCAGCCCCTGGGAGTTAACCCACGTTAGGGCCTCAGGCGTCTGGGCAGACAGGTCTTCACCTAATTGTATTTCAATTTCAGAACACTGCCTTTGCTCGAAGCCAGATCCCTTCAGCCCCGCCTCCCCCTCCCCAAACCTTCAGCCACCTTCCCCTGATTCCCCAGTTTTCACTAAAATGAACACGGCTTTGCCCCAGATACGTGCCGTGTGCCTAGGTGGAGTCGCTGAAAAGCCTAAGGGCCTGGGTCCTGAAAGATGTCTGGATCCAGCCCAGAGTGAGGTCCGACACGTGATCCCCCTACCCCCAGCGGGCCATCTGTTCTCCTTCCTCCCCGCCTGGAGGCAGGCAGCTCTGCCCAGCACCGTCCACGCCTCCCAGCAGGAAAGAGTGAGAAAAGCCAGAGTTGGCGGAACCCACTACATACCGAGTACAGTTCTTTAACCTAAACCTCCCTGGGCCTTGGACAGAGATGAGACTAGGCAGAATGAATTTTAGATTAAGCCCCAGGTGATTAGCTCCACCCGGTGAGCGGGGGAAACTCTGCCCAGGGCTCAGTTTGGATTAAAAATCTCCTGGGGAGGTGACGGAATGGGCTGTGTTCCCCCTGGAAATACCTCAGTTGGGGCTAGGGTGGAAAATTTGCACAAACCAGCTTGCAGAAAGAAAAGGCGAGACTATGCAATTAAGGAATAAAGAATATAAGGGATTCGGACAAATTTGTATTTGTGCCTGCTATCCCATTAAATATTGATTAAATTTAAATATTGATTGCCATAAAGACCTGTTTGTAGATGCACAGCAGAAACGCTGTTTAAAGAACCCAAGTCTTGCCCAGCTTTTCTCATTATTTGGGGGGGGGGGTGTCCCTACAGAATTTGGAGTTTGTAAGGGACTATGGAGATGTATGCATCTAATCCCGTGAATTCACAGATGAGGAAAGAGCTCTAAGAGGTTGCCTGGGGTCACACAGCTCATCTCAGGCCCTGGGAGGTGGGTTCTCTGCCCCAAGCTGGCCTAAACACGTGCTCAAATAATCAGTTCTCTGTAGGCACTATCTCTTCTAGAGGTGATAATGATAATTATTTCAGGATGCACAGAAAATAAAGACTTTGAGCTACAGGCCCATAAACCACTGTTCTCAAGAACTTGAATAATAAATCCAAGCCTTAGACAGAATATAGAGAGGAAAACACATACTTATAAACTAGAAGCACAGTTACAGTCTTTGAATTCCCGTGCTCCTCCCCATTGGTTTGTGTGGATTTGAAATGTGTATTTACAAAGACTAAATTGGGGGAAAACAGACCTCTCATATTTATGTGGCATAATATATATTTTACTGGTAAATTATTCATTGTAATTAGGAAGGATTCATATTAATTTGGGATAATTTACTTTCCCAGAATTTAATTGGGACAACCACATGCTGGCAAAACCGTGTAAGCTGATTTTAATCATAAAACTATTATAATACACATCCCAATACGGCAAGGAGAACTTGTTGTTAAATTACACACACACACACATCCTGATGTTGGAATTATTACCTGTAATATATATTATTTTGTGATATATATGTGTTTGTTTTTAACATATAAGCCTCAGTGAGGCTAGACTGTCTTTTCATTTCTGTATTCCTCCATACCTAGCTCCCTGAAAGAAACATAGGGATCTGGAGAAGGAATGAGTGGGAAAAGAAATAAAGGGGAAAGCATTCTATAATTCTAGAATTTCTGGGTTTAAAAAGCTATTCTAAAGCAAAGAGGCAGATACACTTATAAATATCTGAGAGAAAGCCATGTGTGCGAAATCTCGATTTTCTGTCATTACTTTCTTTTATAACTCTGAAATGACTGAGTTGGAAGAATTCAGGGGTTATGTCCAGTCCAAACAAAATTAAATTAAAGATAATTAATTAAAGAGAAGAAGACCAGAAGTAAGGGAGGGGGAAGTTTGTATTTTTTAAAAAAACCATGATGGTTGATTCATTCAAGTTCCTTGATTACAATGTCCAAGGAAAGATGCAGGTTTCCCTTCATATCTAGAATAATCCCAGTGTTAACTCTAGGGCTATCTGAAGGTGCCCAGTGCAATGTCAGTTCATGCAAATCCAAGACACTGTACAGGCAGTCATCATGGAGACCGTGGAGAGATCCCACTGGTATTTGTGCCGGACCTTAAAGAAGCAAGCAAAGGTGCAATTACTAAATGATCATGTATCCTTGGGGACAGAGTTTGTCCCAGAAAAATTATGAAGTAGGCAAACTCCCCTGTGCTTCAGTGAATTCTTTTCTAAAATTAAGGGAATTGGAATTCAAGAACTCGAAGACGGCTTCATTTTTACACACCATGATGCACCTACTTCACCAAGATGGTGATGATGATAGTCTTGGTTGACCGCCACCCCCTTTCCATACTTCCTTTTCCATATAGTCAACCAATATCTTCCTGTACCGCTTCAAAAGCAAAGTCAAAGTAAACTACACTGGCCTTCAAGCTGGAAGGGTTAATTTGCGACTCTGCCTTTAGAGACCACAAAACTGGTGTTAGTTTTTCCCAACCCTTCACCAAGGCTACCAGACAGTGGGGCCATGGTTGGACTTCAGTGGATCTGCATCACAGAGAGGCAGGCACCTTTCACACCCAGTGAGGACAATCAATGTGTTTTTAACCAGTTGTGCTGATGGCGAGCCTCCTGAAGAGCCACGAGTCCTAGATTCTTTTCTCAGCTATCAAGATGTGGAAAACAACAGTCAGCCATTCAGAGGGAGAGGCAAACTGAGTTAATGAGACTCCAAGACCCATGCTAATCATTGATCAAGTAATGCCACAGTTTTCGATGGCTAAGGATCTCTGGCTTGTTCCAGTTCTTAAGAATCTGTTTAGCACAGTTAATATTTCACAAAATCGAAGAGCTCAGATGTTGGAAAGCCCAAAGGGCTTGGAATCATTAGATTTATTGTTTCAGTTGAGCTCTGTCACTATCTACCTGATAAGGTAGACAGGTCACTTCTCTGTGTTTCCGTCTCCACATTTGTAAAGTGAGGGAAGAGAGAGAAGCCCCGAAAACCGTTCAGGGGTCTGAGGAAAGAAAACGAGCTAAGAATGATGTTTTTAAAACTTATACAAATGAAGGATTTTTTTGTTTTGTTTTGGTCTCCATTTAATTGAAGGTGGGTTACAGTAGCTTCAAAACAAACCAAAATAGCTCACCTAGAACAAATTGCGCTAGGGAAGGAGAGGAATGGTAGGTATCACAAAAGCAAAGTTGGGGGTGTTTCAGTGTAAGAATAGTGAGACGGAAAAAGACTGGTTTAAACGGAACTTTTGTCAGCTCAGCATTTTAAAAATGAATTAGTCATCATTAATGCACTGGATAGAAGGATTATTAAAAAATCTGCCCAAAAGTATGCTGCATCCCAAAACTGAAAAGAAAAGAAAAGAAAAGAAAAGAAAAGAAAAGAAAAGAAAAGAAAAGAAAAGAAAAGATCCTTTCTCATTTGTGTTTCTTCTTGGGCAACTTGTCCTGACATACTTAGATTTAAAAAAATATATTGATTCACATTGCATTTATTCGTCACCCCTGCCTTCCCATACATCTCACACTTTTACTACCAGCAGCACAAAATAACAGGGATGTTGTCCACTTCCACTACGGCTCCCGCGTTCACAAGTGTGGAGCGCTAGCTTTCGGAACGCCCTTCTGATTGGCTGGGCCCATGTCAGTGACGTCAACCAACTTACTTTTGATTGGAAGGCTGGTTGCTGGGACTCTAGCGTTTGCAGGAAGTCACTTAACTGTTTGCGAGCTGGAAAACCGAGCCTGAAGTTTTCTTTTGTCACGAGGACGAGCGCCAGTGACTAGGGAAGGTGTGCGCCACGGCCCCGGCCCCGCCAGCTGGACCTCGAGCCGGGAGGCCCGGAGAGGCCACCGGGACCGAGAGGCGCTCCCGAGGAGGAGCGGCGGCCCCCTTCCAGCCTCCCGGCTGTTACCCTTTTAAATGTCAGCGTTCGAGGCTGGAGGGGTAGCACGAGGCAGCGGAACGGAACAGTCGGATTGGCCGCACGCCTCAGTTCTAGACGCACCTCTCCACCGAAAGGCCGTTCTGACTGGCAGGGGGAGAAAGTAAACAGAGTTGAATCACCCTCCCCGCTGGCCAATTGGAGGGGGTTTGGATTGTGACGTGATGGGATTCTGCGAAATTGTTACTGAGCAAGAGAATGCCGGAACGGTGCGGACCGGCCAGAGCAGGGGCTCAGAAGGCGTCCGCGGACTGGGGGAAAAGTGTCTCTTAGACCCCGCGCTCGGTCCGGGCCTCGCCGCGCGCGCCCTGGTGGTCGGCTGAATGTCCCGCGGCTTCGGCTCGACGGAGAGGCGGCCGAGGGCGTGTACCTCTCTTGCAGTTTCCTCTCCCAGCGCCTCGGGGGCGTTTACAAGCGCATAAACTTGCGGCCGCCACGTGTGGCACCTTTCCAAGGGAGCCGGCTCGGAGCGGCCGGCGCGCCCGTCGGGGGGATCGCGCCGGGC